CTGGCCAGTGCTCGTGTCATTATTCTCATTACTTGCCGAAGCTCACTTGGCCCGCCGGATGCCGCCTCTGCTGATTTGTTCAAGTTTCAATTAGGTAAAATCTCGCTCAGATTTCCTCGCCGATTCTGATTGCTTTTTTCTTTTGCTTTTGGCTTGTATGTCATTGTTATGTGCGTTTGGTTCCTTATAAGTCATAAGGTTTTGATTCTGAAAGTTTTGGGCCAAGTGATATGTAACACCTGCAGTTGAGTTTGGATTAATCAAGAGTTTAATTGGGAGTGTGAGGTATATCTTCTTAGTTGGTTTTGTTGGAATTATCATTTGAATTGCCTGCTTAATGATGCATTAACCGTTGTTCCCACCTCATTTCAATCTGATTCATGCTTAGTTTTTAAAATGCTGAAATACTTTGTTTATTAGAATCGTCCATTAGGTTAAAGTGCACAATGGTTTGCTTCTTTTGATCTTTGTTTTGTTTTGATCTTTGCCCTATTTCGTTTGTCCTAGTTTGTAAATTATTAGGGACTTATTGGAGTTAACTTAATTAAAGGAATCTAGGAGGGTCTTAGAAGTGTTTTTAGAAAAGAGAAATATCTGGAAAATGGAAGAAGCTTCTAAAAGGGACAGCTGTCCAAAAGTTGTTAACAAAAGATGCTGAAAAACTGGACAGTTGTCCATCATTCTGTTTTACAAAAGATGCTATTTTTCCTAATTTAAAGGGAGCTGGCAGATTCTTTTTTAATTTTATCTCATTCCCTAAGGCACATGCTTGCATTCTATAAAAATGGTACTCCTCCTCTCATTTGATAGATTATGATTAGCATTCACTCACAGAAAACACACTAGTTCACTACAATTTTCAGAAATCTCTCCCTTTCATCTTCATTTCTAAAACAGAAAAAAAAAACTTTCAAAAAGAAAACTAAGAAGAAAAGGGGCTTCACAGTTTTTTTTCGTTTTCTTTGCAATTTGGTTCATCTCTGCTGGGTTCAGAAGCTGGTTTCAGTTTGTTTGTTCACTGCTTCTTCATTAAGTCATAGCTGCTTCTTAGTTGTTCTTCTCTTAATTCAGATATTTATTTTCCTTTTGTCTTTTGCTGTAATCCAGGTATCCTTCCTGACAAATGACATAAATTTCAGTCTTTCTTTGAAGTGTAAAATTGTGGACTGTTCTTTACAGTTTCAATGCTTTGAATATGTTTGATACTCATCAGTTATGTTTGGTTGATTGTTGATTTTGAAATATGGTTAAGCATTTGAAATCCTGATGATTCTTTGCGAATTTCTGAATGTAAAGCTAAGGGTATATGTGATGTTTTCATTGTTTCATTGAATGAACTTCGAACCTTGATTCTCTTTGTTGTGACAAGTAACATATATGTTCTGGTTAATCTTAAGTTTGATTAAGTTCTTGCTGCTTTTTCACCTGTGAAAGTTATTATTTCTATATTAATAATGGTTCATACTTGAAGGAAGGTTAAAGAATGACCAAGAGATGAATCTGACCACCAGTTGGTCAGATCCGTCTCTATGAAGTGTCTGGGTCGCAAAATCATGATTGGCAGAGCTAAAACGTGTAGTTCCAGCATCTGTTCGTCGCCAGTGTTGAAAGCAAGAGTATAGGAGTTAGTTTGAAGTTTTATTTCAAGTTCTTCTTTTGGGTAAATTATATTATCTCCTTTAACTTGTTTCGTTTGTTAATTTCATACTTTAAATTTGAGAGTTCTATGTGTTTGACCAAAAAATAATAATCTTTGATTAAACTAATTAATCGGTTATTAAGGAGGGTTAATTCTAGTTAGTGTTAGTAAACTGTATTTATAAAATAATTCTGGAGAAGATAAAATAACATATAAACAGAAATGTAAACGAAACAGAATTTAATCCGAGCCCACTGAATTCACAGTGCTTTCTTAAGGAATTTAATCCCCTCCTATTACCCAAGGTTGTGGATTATTTCCTCCCAGTAGAATGGATTACACACTGGTGTATTGGTACTTCAAACCCCAGTGTTTCAGCGAACGCAAAAATCAGTAGCAAATCACACTTACTGTTGGTGTCACACCTCCTTTTTCTCGTGGGGATAGAGAGTTTTTTCAATTAAAGTGACATTAATCGAAATGATATTATTTGTTTATTCGGAGTCGCCACTTGAAATAATTTATGATGTCCCAAATCACCGGTTTATTTTAAATCCCAAATCCAGGAAAATTGACTCTATTTTTGGTCCGTGAAATACGGAAGACCGGGTAAGGAATTCCGTTTACCCGGGAGAAGGTGCTAGGTACTCCCGAGTTTCGTGGTTTTAGCACGGTCGCTCAACTATTAATATTTGGCCTAATTATCTGATTTATTACATGTTTAAAACCTATTATGCGTTTTTACTTTTTAATCGTTTTTAATTAGTTATGAAATTATTTCTGGAACAAGTTACAATGTCGTACACACGTTTGTTTCTGTATACATTGCGAATCGCGTCACGGGAACCGTACCCACGATCTACAACATGCTTATTTTTATTATTGTTCGAAGTTATGGTCGGGTCACATGAAATGCACACCCGAGTTTGGATTTATGTATCGTGACTATGCCACGGGAATGTACTCATAGTCACGATAATTTATTAATCGCGCCTAAAGCAAAACTACGACTGTTTATAATTTGTTGTTTCTATATTTGGGATTGTGTATGAAGGACAAGAGCTCATGCAATTAGACATTGTGAAAGTGCGAGCTTAGATGCTTTGTTGCCTAAAAATTTATTATGTTTATCTAGGCATTTACTTTGCATCATGAACCGAGGGACCTTGAATTAATGGAAGATTCATTGTGTATGAAATTTTAACAAAAGGCGAGAAGCACTGATTATAGAAGTGGATTAAAGAATTCAATAAAATTATTCAAATCCTAAGTGGTTAGTACTTGGTCACTCACGTTCAGCTCCTCAACCAGTCTGTTGTGAGCATTCATAGGCTTACAATTGAACCCAAATGACAGTGGAATGAAGAGTCAATTGGACCACAAATTGGGCATGCTGTCTGGTCTGGGCCGCCTAACATGCCCAAACCTGTTAACATTCAATCGCAGGCTTCTAAATCGATTCGTGTATATCACAAGAAGTATAATTAATCACGAGATAATACACGATTACAAAATTTCAATGTCACAACATCAAACAATTTACAAAGATCTTAATGCAAACTTTACAACACAACAAACCTGTAACCAGCATCCTATCTTTTGAAATTAAACAATACTATCTCAATTAATCGGTTAACATCCCTCATGTTTTTGTTCTCTGAATTCTTTATTCCTCTCACATCCTCAGCATTTATCATACAAACAAAAATGGACAAAACTTAAACTCGATTGGATTAACTGACACAGGTAATCAGTGGACAGCTACTCGTATTTCAGTATATTAAAATAGTGGCCTATAGATAACAATAACAACAAATTGACAATGAGTCTCACAGAGTAACACTTATACACAAAACCATTCTATAAGTTACGCAACAAAATAACTAAACAAATCAAGTTTGCATATGATATTAAAACAACTACATAATGTGTAAAAGACCTGATTGCAAATAATTCTCATTAAAATAAAAAACCAAACACTGTACAGCAGGAGAATGAGAGAAAAAGTACTTGACTGCTGAAAAATTCAAATTAAGAAAATAAGTCTCTGATGCGGAATAGATAAAATCAGATACTAGACTTGTAACTGAAAACTGATGCTAGCCAAATAAAGGCTAAGGAAACCTCCACTAGGATAATTTCAGCAAGATCAACAGCAGGAGCAGTGCAGGAACAACTTTGTTCTTGATTAAAAGTCCACTTGAAGAAACAGAATTGGTATAAAATCGCAGTAAAAAAAAGCTGAAAACTCTCTTTTACTATTTTTTCTTTTTCTCAGATTTTTCTATGATTTTTGGTGCTTTTCAGATCTGGAAACTCAGATATTCCAGCTGCTGTGGTTTTTTTCTTTTTTCTCTCCAACCTAATGAATGAAAGAGGATCCTTTTATAAGAGATTTTATGGGCAACAAAAGCATAATTTCTAATTTACTCTCCTCTCTAAACTTTGTTTCTTTGTTCATTTACACCCCAGATTCTCCAAATCATGCCTATCTTCTGTTTTTCAAGGGCAGAACCCTTTCTCCCCTTCAGTTGTAACAAAAAATATTCTCTACATTAAGTACTAGACTACCCTTCCCACTCCCTATAATTATAAATGACCAGACCCACAGTTGTTGGGCCTTCTACTGTCAAGACCAAACTTACGAAGTCCAAATAAAAAAAAAAAAACCAAAAAATCAAATAAACAAACAACTGTGAGAATAAATTTAAAATAGGACTAAACTAATTAAACATTAACGAGCTCTAAAATTAAACTTGCTAATTAACAAATGAGCCTAGAAAACAGTAATTTAAACTAATTGAAAAAAGGAGAAGAGCATTACCAAATTATTGCTCATGACATAAAGGAGCATCACTGAACGATGAGACAACGGCGAAAAACCAAGCGGACTCCTGCAACTTCGCAATGGGTCGAAACTAACCTAAAAAATCTATAAAAAATTAAAAACAATTATTGGTAATTTTCATAAAAAATACCAAAATCTAATTGTGAATTTTGTTGGAGTATTTTAGTTGGGCAAAAATTACGTGCTCACAGCTGCCCCTCTTGGCTCGGAAACATGAAGAGTTTTTGGGCAAAGATAAAATGAGAATCATGAACAATATTTGCCCGTATGATACTCCATGAGAGGCATTTTGAAAAAGTTTGAACGAACTTTGCTTCGGAGGTTGCCTACATATCCTTGGCTATAAAGGAATGAGGTCGGTGTAGTTCTGGAAGTTTTGGTAGCTGGGACTATCGAGAAGCTGTGATTTCACTGTTGTTGTTGCTGTTACTGCTTGCTGAGCTCCTTATTACACCAACATAAAAATGAAAAAGACTAACTAAGCCTATCGGCTACGAGTTACAAGATTCCTATCTATGAGTCTTCTGAAGCTCGATCTTGAGTCTTCGCTGGTTCTTCATACAGACTCTGATCTAAATCTTGATTCTTGTTAGCTGCAAGTGCTGGTTCATTCTCCTTCAACCTCTCGGATCAAGGCCTTGTGACTTCAATCATGTCTTGAGCAGTCCATATCTTTTCTCCGCTTCTGCACTTTGAGTTCACTTCTTTTTCTTTTCTTCTTTTCTTTTATTTGGATTGATACTTCTTCTTTTGGTCGTCTCGAACCTTGTGCCTCGAGGTATAACCTGCTCAGACATCAAAACAAACAAAACGAACAAAAAATTTTGCCCCAGTTTTTTAGTAGGAAAATTTCGTGAGTTATTTGTAATAGAACTCTATACTACTTCATTATTGAAAGCAAATAAAAAGTTGGGATTGTGTACCCTTGGGAAGATAGAGATTAGGGATTGGAGACCCTATGTCTAAAAAAATAAAATCAACTAGGGAGTGGAGACCCTATGTTGGAATATCATCAACTAGGGAGTGGAGATCCTATGTTGGCATCAACTAAGGAGTGGAGACCCTATGTTGGAATTATCATCAACTAGGGAGTGGAGACCCTTTGTTGGCATCAACTAGGTAGTGGAGACCCTATGCTGGAAAACCATCAACTAGGGAGTGGAGACCCTATGTTAGCATCAATTAGGGAGTAAAGACCCTATGTTGGAAAATTATTAAATAGGGAGTGGAGACCCTATGTTGGAATATCATCAACTAGGGAGTGGAGACCCTATGTTAGCATCAACTAGGGAGTGTAGACCCTATGTTGGAAAATCATCAACTAGGGAGTGGAAACCCTATGTTGAATCAACTAGGGAGTGGAGACCCTATGTTGGAAATCATCGACTATGGAGTGGAGACCCTATGTTGGAATCAACCAGGGAGTGGAGACCCTATGTTGGAAAATCATCAACTAGGGAGTGGAGACCCTATGTTGGCATCAACCAGGGAGTGGAGACCATATGTTGGAAAATGTAGCTAGGGATTAGGGACCCTATACTACCATGATTTTGAATCTTATTTCTTTTTATTTTATTATTAATTTTTATTTATTAAGAGAATGAGTAAAATGATGCAGAGCTATTTTAGTCTCTGCGCGGTTTCCTTTTGTTACACCTGTTTCTTGCAAGGTTGCTTTAAATTAAACATGTTTTCTATTTTTCAAACAAAGAATAATTTGTCAGTTTGAAACAGTGGTTGATTTTGTGGCCTTGAGCGTTTCAGTCGCTTGATATCGGCCCGGCTTCTTTGATGAAGATCTCAATTACAACTGCTTGTTCCCTGAGGACCGATTTCATTTCTGGCCCTGGAGAAATTTGGCTTTTCCAAAACTTTAACATGGTGGTTAATCACGTGGGACTTAACCTTTTTCAACTTTATTTTGCCTTTGTGGGAATTCAACTTTGATCTCCTTTTTTTTCAGGAGTTTTTATTTCAAAGCATCGGCCATCATGGCCAGTCGAAGTCGACTCGATGCACTTGCCGAGGCTGGGTGCCTTCTTAAATATTTGATCGTGTCAAACAAAAGAGCTGTAAATAAATCTTTCCATCCTTTCTTTGTCTTAGTTTTGGAACATAATTCGACCGAAAAGGATTCAAAGAAAAACAAACAATGAAATGGACAAATGAATTTAGACGAGAGGTATCGTTTTCGGGGAAGAGAAATAAGGACTTATCAGGAGTGCATGCGGACTACAATAAACATGACATGCCTCTTGAACTGGATGACTGATCTGTGTAAACCGTCCAACTCTCAAAAATTCATCACAACTTATGCCTTCAAAATTGAGAAACCTTGCCAGGACTCTGTCGATGCCGATGGCTGTGAGGATCCCCTTTTCGATCAGTGGCGCCCTTTGAGGTTTTTCACCAGCTGACCTCTCTCATTTCGCTTCTCACCGTCGCTTTGTAGTGCTCTTTGCGAGTTTTCACTAACAAGACTCTCTCATTTCAATTTCTCTGCTTACCATCGCCTTATGGTGCCCGTGAGGGTTTTCACCAATAAGACTCTCTCATTTTATTTCTCTCATTTTGATTGTATCAGATCCAAGCGATTGTATCCTCCAATTCTTGAACATTCTCGACGATTGATCGGAAGGACTTGAAAAGGATTTGGGTAAAAAGAATTTGGACTGAATTACAACTTTGGAACCTTTCAGGCGAAACCATTGCCGAAACATTATAACATCTTCTCCAGTTTCACTTTTGGGGGAATTTGGATTTTTGTTTTGGTGTGAATGAACCCCAGAGAGAGACTGCCTACGTATCCTTTCGGAATTAAGTCGAACGTAGTTCAAGGAACTTTATTTTTTATTTTCTTTATTTTTCTCTTTTCTTTTGTTTTTTTACTTTTCATAACAACTTCCTGGTTCCAAGAGGGTAATCAAAGAAAAAGGGAACCGGCTCAAAGGGTTTGCAAGGTTGGTAGTATTTGGGTTGCGAGAATGAAAGCCTTCATCATCCCAATCAGAGAGCATTAAAATCGCATAAAATGGTCAAACATAATACCTTTTGACCGCATCTGCATTGACAGTTGTTTCGAGGTCATTTCTTTCAATGTCTCCCAAGTACAACGCTCGTCTTGGCAACACTCTTATTTTAATGTAAGGCCCTTTCCAATTTGGAGCAAATTTTCCTTTTGCTTCTTCATGATGCGGGAGAATACGTCTCAAAACGAGTTGCCCCACTTCAAAGTTTATAGGCCGCACTTTCTTGTTATAGGCATGATCCATTCTTTGTTGGTACAACTGCCCGTGGCAAACTGCGGCCATCCGCTTTTTATCAATCATAGTTAATTGTTCCAACCGGGTCTTGACCCATTCATCATCTTTGATCTCAGCTTCGACAATGATTCAAAGAGAGGGAATTTCAACTTCTGCAGGTATTACGGCTTCAGTGCCGTAAACCAATAAATAGGGCATGGCCCCAACTGACGTGCGCACGGTTGTGCGATATCCCAATAATGCAAAAGGCAACTTTTCATGCCACTGTCTAAGACTTTGAATCATTTTCCTGAGGATCTTCTTGATATTCTTGTTTGCAGCTTCAACAACGCCATTAGCTTTGGGCCGATTAGGGGTAGAGTTACGATGTGTACTCTTAAATTGTTCGCATACCTCCCTCATCAAGTGGCTATTCAGATTTGCAGCATTGTCCGTAATGATAGTTTTAGAAATACCAAAATGACAAATGATGTTGGAATACATGAAGTCCACCACCGCTTTCTTGGTGACGGCTTTGAAAGTGACTGCTTCAACCCACTTTGTGAAATAATCAATGGCAACCAAGATGAATCTATGCCCATTTGAAGCTTTCGGCTCGATTGGCCCAATGACATCCATACCCCAGGAGACGAATGGCCAAGGTGCTGACGTAGGATGCAACTCTAAAGGTGGTGCATGAATCAAGTCACCATGTATCTGACCCTAATGGCACTTCCGGACAAAATTGAAGCAATCATTTTCCATGGTCATCCAGTAATAACCTTCTCGAAGGATTTTCTTTGCAAGGACATATCCATTCATGTGGGGCCCACATACTCCCGAATTCACTTCGTTCATGATCTTTTAAGCTTCTTGGGCATCTACACACCTCAAAAGATTTAGATCTGGGTACTTTTGTGCAAGACTTCTTCGCTCAAGAAGAAACCGCTGGCAAGCCTTCTAATGGTTCTCTTTTGGTCTCCACTGGCTTGCTTGGGATATTCCTTTGTTTTCAAAAACCTCTTGATATCAAGATACCATGGTTGAACATCTGGCTCTATTTCAAGTGCATTGTAATAACCATGTCTTTCTCGAATTTGGATCTCTAACGGGTCAATATGGACATTGCCCGGATACGGCAGCATTGAGGCCAAAGTAGCTAATTCATCAGCTAACTCATTGTGGAATCGAGGAATATACCTGAACTCGACAGACTTGAACCGTTTGCTGAGATCTTCCACTTGTTGCATGTATAGGATAAGCTTGATGTCTCGAGTTTCCCATTCACCTTGAGCTTGCCGAATAATCAAGTCAGAATCTCCCATGATTAACAATTCCTCCACATCCATGTCAACTGCCATATTCATACCCATAATGCGGGCTTCATATTCAGCGGTGTTGTTTTTACAGAAGAACCGAAGTCGGACTATGGCTGGATTGTGCTGACCAGTGGGCGAAATCAAAATTGCCCCAATCCCGACACCTTTTGCATTTATAGCTCCATCGAAGAACATTTTCCAAGCATTGGTGTCTTCTGGAATTACTTCAAATGAATTTACTTCCTCGTTCAGAAAGTAAGTACTTAGGAGTTGGTATTCATCATTAACCAGGTTCTCAGCTAGATGATCTGCCAAGGCTTGAGCTTTCATCGCCGTACGGGTGACATAGACAATGTCAAACTCAGTGAGCAGGATTTGTCATTTTGCTAACCTTCCCGTGGGCATTGGTTTTTGGAATATGTACTTCAGAGGATCCATTATGGTTATGAGATATATGGTGTAGGCCAACAGATAGTGTCTAAGTTGGGCGACCTAAGTTAGGGCGCAGCAAGTTCTTTCAAACAAAGTATCCTTGGCTTTATAACTAGTGAACTTCTTGCTCAGATAGTATATGGTTTGCTCTCTCTTCCCGGTCACATCATGTTTCCCCAGGACACAATCGAAGGAATTTTCCAAGACTGTCAGGTACAAGAACAAAGGCCTCCCAAGCTCGGGTTGGACCAACACTGGCGGATTCGACAGATTTTCTTTGATTTTGTCAAAAGCTTCTTGACACTCATCCTTCCATCTGATTGCTGCATCTTTTTTCAACAGCTTAAATATGGGCTCACACGTGGTAGTCAGCTGAGCAATCAACTTGATGTAATTCAATCTTCCTAGCAGACTCATAACCTCTTTCTTGGTTCTCGGAGGTGGCAAATCCCGGATAGACTTTATCTTTGTTGGATCTAACTCGATACCCCTCTGACTGACTATAAACCCCAGAAGTTTCCCAGATGGAACTCCGAATACACATTTAGCTAGATTCAATTTCAAGTCATACTTGCGCAGACGCTCAAAGAACTTTCTCAAAACCCGCACATGGTCTTCCTGCATTCTGGATTGAATGATCACATCATCCACATACACCTCAATTTCCTAGTGCATCATGTCATGGAATATGGTAGTCATAGCTCTCATGTAAGTTGCCCCGACGTTCTTTAAGCCAAATGGCATGACCGTATAACAGTAAGTTCCCTAAGGTGTGGTGAAAGCCGTCTTTTCTACGTCTTTTTCATCCATCAGAACCTGGTGATACCGAGCATAACAATCCACGAAAGATTGTATCTCATGTTTGGCACAGTTGTCAACAAGAATGTGGATGTTTGGCAATGGAAATTTGTCCTTGGGGCTTGCTTTGTTCAAATCTTGATAACCAACACACACGGGTTTTCCCATCTTTCTTCGGCACTGGGACCACATTAGCCAACCATGTGGTGTATCAAACCACTCGGATCACACCAACTTTCAACTGTTTGGTGACTTCTTCTTTGATCTTATCACTGATGTCCGTCGTAAACTTTCTCTGCTTTTGTTGGACAGGTGGTAACCGGGATAAGTTGGCAATTTATGCACTACCAAATCAACACTCGGTCCTGGCATATCATCATAGGACCATGCAAACACGTCTTTGAATTCGAAAAAAAGTTGGATCAATGCATCTCTAGTTCTTTCATCGGCGTGAATGCTTATCATGGTTTCCCGGACCTCTTCTGGACTACCCAAAATAACTGGCTCGGTTTCATTTATGTTTGGCTTAGGCTTATTCTCAAATTGTTCCAGTTCTCGATTTATTTCCCTAAAAGCCTCATCTTCGTCATATTCCGGTTCTTGATTCATTATTTCACAGTTAGACAGCATTTTAGGATCTAGGCATGAAGTCCGCAAGCATGTCATGTTATTCAAGTCCGCATTATTAGAACTGGAAACAAAAAGATAAGAAAAATAACAAAATTAGAATAACGAAAAAGGAGACATCCATTAACGATGAAATATTGATTTCATTTCATTGAATTTGAAGATAAGAGGGTTTACATCGAAATCAAAAGACAATAAAATAAAAACATTCGAGTTACACCTTAAAATAACTTGTAATGTAGAAAATATGGCAAGACTGGACTACCACGATTCCCCCCTGACAGGGAATAGGGTAACCCTCCAGTTTTGAAGCTTGGCATTTGGTCCCATGTACAGCACCTTAGCAGTGCTCGTTCCTTCCCCCGGCTGAACCATGTAGGACTCGTACAACATTTGTTTCATGGAATCACAAATATCCTCAATATCTTCAGTCGTGAAGGCCTCTTCCTCTTCTTCTTCATACTTGGGTTTAACAAATGACTTGGCGAGATGTAGAACAAGCTGAGGCAGGACCCACCCATTTTTCTTGCGCTTATCAGCCCATTTTATGTCGGCATTTATAGCTTGAAAATGTACGCCGAAGAACTTCTTATTGGCGTTCGAAGTGATGGCTCTGTGATGCCTTGTAGAGATACCCCGAGCCCTTTCCCAGGCTTGTACCCATATTTAATCATTTCACTCGCTACCATAACCGATGTATTTGAGAAGCAAGGTTGAGGAAACGGGTCCTCTTCTTCACATTGGTTGGCGACCACAATTTTGAAGGCTTGATAGACGATGTGCTCACTTCCTTCTCTAGCTTCGAGACACGGGACTGACGGGTCCCTGTAAATGGACTGTTCATCCTCCCCGTGGAGAACAATTTCTTGGTTTTCATGTTTAAACTTGACTATTTGGTGGAGAGTGGAGGGCACATCCCCTGCAGTGTGAATCCATGTTCTTCCTAGGAGAAAGTTATACGAAGTATCCATGTCCAGAACCTGGAAAGTCACTTCGAAATCCACAGGGCCAATGGTCAGAATCAAGTCAATTTCCCCTATTGTATCGCACTTGACACCATTAAAAGCGCAGGCACAAACATTGTTTGGTCGAATCCTTTCTGTGCCAATTTCCATCCTCTGAAGCGTTGAGAGAGGGAAAATGTCGACCCTGGAGCCACCATATAGCATGAACCTCTTCACATAATAACCTTCGCATTTGACAGTCAAGTGAATTGCGTCCTTAGCAGGTGCTGCCCCGGCTTTTGTTTCCACAACTTTTTCTGCAACTTGAGGAGTTGGCATGATTTTCTTCTTATCATTTCTGGTCTGTTTCCCCGCGCTTTAGGTCTTGCCTCTGAATCGGCAATGGCGATGATGGCTTTCAAAGCTGGATCAACTCTTTATCATAACAATCATTCCAATAATCGGCTCGTTGTTGTGAGCCGATAATGGATTGCTAGTCACATTAGGGATTTCCTCATCCCTCAGCAACACTCGCTTCTGTTCTATCAAATTCTCAACTGTCCTCTTGAGAGTCCAACAATCCTCCATATCATGACCCTCTGCCCCCGAATGGTAGGCACACCTGGTACCGGGTCGGTATGATGGAGATTCCAGATTTTGACGATTTGGAGGCACATGTTGCAGTATGCCTATCTGGATAAATTTTGGAAAAAGGCTAGAGTAGGATTCACCAATAGGGGTGAAGTCACTTTTCCTTGGAGGCTCACGGGGGCGTGTATTATGTTTGTAGTTGCTCTGTGGTGGACATGGGTTATATGGAGCTTGGTGAGGATGGTTATTTCTATGAATTGGAGCTCTGTTTTGGTTGTAGTGCTGCTGTGGCCGTGTATAAGGTTGGGTGTTCATCAACGTAAAGGGAGGGGGTGCCACGGCATATGCTACATCTTGATGGGGTAGTAGTGTTGTGGGGTTCTGGAAGGCGGATAAGAATAATCACGGGATCGACGAGAGCTTCTCGAACTTGAAGCCATCATGGCTCCTTCTTCCCTTTTCTTTCGATTTACTAAACCTCCCGAGCCGTTTTGAATGGCTTGGGAAATGGCTCTTAAAGCAGATTAACTTATGATCCGGCCAGCTTTTTGGCTGTTTTCTACCATTTCTCCGATATTTATGGCTTCGGCAAAAGGTTTGCCCATGGCAGACATCATGTTCTGAAAGTAATCGACCTCCTGGGCCTGCAAGAAAACATTTACCATTTCTATCTCATCTATTGGTGGCTTCACTTGAGGTGCTTGCTCACGCCACTTGATAGCGTATTCATGGAAACTTTCCGCGGTTTTCTTCTTAAAATTGGTCAAGGAATTTCCAGCAGAGTCGCGAGAGCTGTCACACCTGCTTTTTCCCGAGGGGATAGGGAGTTTTCCAATTAAAGTAACATTAATCGAAATGGGATTATTTGTTTATTCAGAGTCGCCACTTGGAAAAATTTATGGTGTCCCAAGTCACTGGTTTATTTTAAATCCTAAACTGAGGTAAATTGACTCTATTTTTGGTCCGCGAAATACACCCTCTTTTAAGCTTGTTTTAGCTTAAAAAACTCAATAGTTAGAGCTAATAACTTCAGACCTTGAGTTGACAGCACGAATATATGAGCAGTGAAGGAATGGAGTTAATGTGCTAACAATAAATGTATCGAATGTAATAATGTGCGTGAAGTATCAAGTATTAAATAACAACAAATGGCAATAAATGTAAATAAGGAGGAAGATTCACCCAATATTAAATGAGGTGAATGATTCCTCCCTCTGACAATGATAAATGACAAGAATATAAGAGAATATTGAGCACTTTCTCAGATCTGGTGGAAATGACAATAGATAATCCAAAAAGGTCGAATCCCTCCAGAAAGTCGTTCTTTGTATTTATCTAGAGAGCTTACTTTTCGAAAGTGTTCTTATCATATGGAATATTACATGCCCTTTGCCTTATCTCTCATTCTATTTATATTGGATATTCCAAAAGAATCCTAAAAGTACAAATAGAGGAAATATTTAAGAGAATATTCCCTCTGAACATCCCAATACAAAACTAGTCGTTGCTACTATCTGCTCTACTCGACTCGGCCGTGATTGACCGCTTGGCGACTCGTTCCGGTGATCACTGGTCGACTTTGGCCAAATTGCCCATGATAAATTACAAATTACTCCCGATAATCACCTCTTCGTGCTGAATTTCCTCAAT